TGAGAACCACTGCCCTAAGGGATTCCCATCTCCCTAAGGGAGTTCGTTCCAGAATGTAAATATCTTTCCTCTTTTTCCTTACTGGCCGGCACACTGGCGGGGGAGGTGTCCCTCCTCTTCAAACTTATTGCCATGGCTACTGCTCTGGTATCTTACCTGTCAGGCTGAGTTAAAGTCCTTCCTTGAGTCAACCGGTTTTCCCTTAGGTTTTCACTGGGTCCTTCCTTTTTGTCTCAGGATTTCCGATTCCTCTTTGTTTCAGCAGGGGCAATCCAACTTTTAGGGCTGGGAAAAACTTACCCAGGTGTGCACTGCCCTTTTCGGATATCCCCAGCTGCCAATGATGGAACGGATGCAAATCCCGGAGGAGCTCCCAAGTCTCTTATGTGTTCATGGCTACTTTCCTTCATGACCAGAGACAAAGTTGCTTGACTAATAACCAGTCAAGACACAGTGAAGGCTTTTTGTTTCGTTTATTGCAATAAGCAGGGAGAGAAGCTATCAAAGCTTGGTTCTCTCCAAAGTTTCAACCCAAAATATTCTCTTCTTTATACAGCCCTGTCCCAGCCATGACATCCCTCCTCTTTCCCATTGGCTGAAGTACAATGAGGTTACACTCTTTCTGATTGCCTCCTACATATTTCCTGCTACATACTAAATCATACATCACATGTACATTAAAATTAGGAGATAATTTATGCAAGGTGTGTCAAATAATACCAGTTAATTACACATGCCTATTGTCTATTTCAGGTTCTGGGCCCTCTTCGTCTATGACTTCTTAGAAAAATAGGTTCTTTCCTGTTTTTCAGTTTAATCTTTCCTGGCTAGCCATTTCCTCTTGCAATGGTTTTTACAGCTTGTGTTCTTCCTTTCCCAATTCTGGAGACCCAGATAATATTTGCCTATGTGTTAATCGTTTATGCTTCCTTTATGCTATCCTTTCCTGATTCCCCATTGTGGTTTCTTTGCCAGGTTGGTTCTCCAGGCAGTAAGTTTCCATTACACAGCAAATTCAATTTTAAATTTTTGTTTCAGTATTAAATTTTAAAGACCTTTCATTTGATCTTATCACTCTCTTGGAGAACAGTGGGTTAGACTAAATGATCTCAAGGTCCTTTCCATCTCTGTTACTGTTGCAAACCAATAGTTCTGTAAACCCTTCCCCCATCTCCCTCTGAGTGACTGGAGACTCTTAAGCTAATTAGTGGCAACTGCAAAATCTTTGCAAAAAGAGAGTTCTGCAGCCTGCTTGCAGACAATTTAGTTCCTGAGCTGAAAGAAACAGCTGATTGGCAGCAATGGGAAGGCCTTTCAGTTCAGGCAGAAATCAATTAACAAAGCTGAGGAAATAGTAAGTTAGTTCTTCATTCATTTAATGATCCATTTGATTTAATTAATGGATTTGATTTTAAAAATTTGTAAAATTGAGTCTGATTCATTTGATGAATTTTTTGAGTTACGATCCTAATGGGCAGGCTTCATTAGGTCATATCTTGAGGACTACCTGTATTACTGCATGGAGAGCTGGATTCATACCTGTACCTTCTTTTTTATGATTAAAAGGAAGGAAAATTACCTCCGTTTTGGTTTTCCATGTTTTCATTGCATGTGAACCAAAAACAGAATTCATTTTAAATTTTGTCATCCAAAATTAGAAGTTAATTTGTAATTGGAACACTATTTTAAAAATCAAACACTGTCAGCTAGACAGGGAAGTCAAAACATTTTCTCATAAAACATAGTGACAAGCTACTATAAAATCATGTCATTACTGAATGAATGCTTCCATGTGAGTTACAAGAAGACAGAATCAATTTACTTTATTAATATTTTACTTTACAAACTTCTGGTCTTCACACAATTGCTATTTAATAAGTATATTAATGTGAAACTAAATTCTGATTTATTATTTTCCTAGAGATATGCATGGGCAAATGTTTAACTGCAGTACTTCATAAGGAATATTTCTGCTCATATTCATTGTATTTGTGAAAGCTCATTTATAATACATTATCACATTTTTTGTTCTAAAAGTTATATGAACAGTTATATGAATGTTGCATACAACAATAAATGATTTATTTATTGCTGTATGCAACATTTATTCATAATAATATCTTTAGTGAGGTTTTTAAATAAAAATATTGTATATTTATTTTGTTTCTAATGGCTGATTTCATTGGTGTATTCTAAATTTACTATGTAATACTTCCATGAAAGAAAATAGAACATAACAGGAATTCCAAAATTTTGAATGCAACTATATGTATTTTAGACTATCCAATGATAGGGAGATTTGGAGCCCTGCTTTTTATTATTTTGGCACCATTTACCAGTTGTATGCAGTTTGGGATGCATATTTCATTAAGCTGGAAATTTTCAAGCAATCTTTCTGTTGCCAGTACTCAGTGGCAACTGCATTGTAATGACTTACGTAGAAGATATAAAAGAGAGTCTCAATGAGTTTTAACTGATTCAGTGCAGAGATTTTGCTTAAACTTGGCTTTCACTGAGCTGGATTGTGTGTTGACAGATATATATACTCCATAAGTCCTGTCAGCATCTTAGAACTATATTTGAGTTATGTTTATTGTTCAAGACAGTGAAAACAAAATGCTGATATTTTGTTGAAAACTCATTAAAAATAGATTTTTTTTAAAAAAAAGAAACAATATAGCAAGACAAAAATTATAAACAATAGAATAACTCTTCACAAGTATATATTGGAGGTGGTGACCCTTTGAGAGCTGTATGCAATGAAATTACATTTTAATGTATGCCGATTAGTGTACATTCAAAGTGACAATAAAGTAACAATAATAATAATAATAGTAAAGTTGGAAGGGACCTTGGAGGTCATCTAGTACAACTCCCTGCTCAGGCAGGAAACCCTATACTGTACCATTTTGGACAAATGGCTGTCCAGTCTCTTCTTAAAAACTTCCAGTGTTGGAGCATTCACCGCTTCTGGAGGCAGGTTGTTTCACCGGTTAATTGTTCTAACTGTCAGGAAGTTTCTCCTTAGTTCTAGGTTGTTTCTCTCCTTGATTAGTTTCCACCCATTGCTTCTTGTCCTGCCTTCAGGTGCCTTGGAAAACAGCTTGACTCCCTCTTCTTTGTGGCAGCCCCTGAGATATTAGAACACTGCTATCATGTCCCCCCTCGTCCTTCTCTTTATTAAACTAGATATACCCAATTGCAGCAGTCATTCCTTATATGCTTTAGCCTCCAGTCCCCTAATCATCTTTGTTGCTCTTATCTGTACTCTTTCTAGAGTCTCAACATCTTTTTTACATCACGGTGACCAAAACTGGATGCAATATTCCAAGTGTGGCTTTACCAAGGCATTGTAAAGTGGTATTAACACGTCACATGATCTTGATTCTATCCCTCTGTTAGTGCAGCCTAGCACTGTGTTGGCCTTTTTGGCAGCTGCAGCACACTGCTGACTCATATTTAAGTGATTATCCACTAAGACTCCGAGGTCCCTCTCACATCACTACTTTTGAGCAAGGTACCTCCTATACTATCCCTGTGCATTTGGTTTTTCTTGCCTAAATGTAGAACCTTGCTTTTTTCACCACTGAATTTCATTTTGTTAGATAGTGCCCAGTGTTCAAGTCTGTCCAGATCCTCCTGTATCTTAAATCTGTCTTCTGGAGTGTTGGCTATTCCTGCCAGCTTGGTGTCGTCTGCTAATTTGATGAGTTCCCCATTTATCCCCCCGTCCAAATCGTTGATGAAGATGTTGAAGAGCACTGGGCCCAGAACAGAGCCCTGGGGCACCCCACTACACACTTCCCTCCCTGTAGATGCACTTCCATTGAGGACCACATGCTGAGTACGGCTGGTCAGCCAGCTACGGATCCATCTGGTAGTGATGCTGGCTACTCCACATTTTTCTATCTTGTCAAGTAGTAGGTTGTGATCTACTTTATCAAATGCCTTACTGAAGTCCAAGTAAATTATGTCCACAGCATTCCTCTGATCCACTAATTTTGTCACTTGGTCAAAGAATGCAATAAGATTTGTCTGGCATGATCTATTTTTGACAAACCCATGTTGGCTTTTAGTAATGACTTTGTTTGCCTCTAGGTGTTTACTGATTATATTCTATTCTGTTCTAAGTTGACTAGATTTTTCTACCTTCTCATAAGTAATTGCCAACTTCTGACTGAAGTCAAAGAGAATTTGCTATTCATTAATGGAAGGTCTATGTAATTTCTAACAATGATAGCAAGGGCTTCATTTGCCTTAGGATCAAACTATTTTCCTTTTCTTCACTTAATTTTTTTAAAAAAATAATTACCAATTAATTGGGTAATTAAATAAGAAAATTAATGATACAATCTTCTTGTTCCAAAAGACAGTTGCTTAAAATAAAGGAGAGCAGCTTATTTAAAAAATTGAGAACTTTTCATGCTTTAATTTAAAAAATGGATGAGATTCGTAGAAAAATAAGATTCAGTTATTTTTAAATGTATTTTATAAGATAGAAACATTTGAATGTATCTGAAATTAGAATTCCATCTGTACTGATTAATTTGAAATGAGTATTATATGAGAAAATAAAATAATTGTCTTTATTATGTATATATTATTTATTATTGCTCTAAGCATAATTGTTTTCATCATCTTTAGTGAATGTTACATTCCAAATTCATCAGTGCAGATGGAATTCTAATCTCAGATACAAATGTCTCTATCTTATAAAATACATTTTAAAATAAATCTATCTTGTTTTTCTATGAATCTCATTTATTTTTAAAAGTAAAGCATGAAAAGTGCTTATTTCTTTTAATACGCTGTTCTTTATTTTAAGCAACTTTCTTTTGAAACAGGAAGAAAGCCCCCTCACATATCCCCTTCCCCTTTTAGTAAGCAGGGTTACAATTCTGTTATGTCATTTCTAACTATCATGTTTATTCCAGGTTGAAAAGAATATTGTTTGTTATAGATTCTCAGTAAATGTGCCTCATTACTATTCAATGTTTCAGGTCCGTGTTTGCAACCCATACAAGATGATGATGTGAACGACCAATACAACAACATCCTCAACAATAAATGGTTCATGCTGGATATGTTGTATGCCCATAATAACTTGCCTTTTGCCAAGGATGAAAGAGTTAAAGAATTGGAGGCAAAGATAGATTTAAAGAAGGTGTTGAATGCAAGTGAAGATACTGTTATCAGCCTAGCCAGCAGGATTTCAGTCCTACAAACTACTAAGCAGGCCAAAGATGAATGTATAAAAAAAATGGAGATTGGAAGTTTGGAAAATCAAGGCAATGTGAAGATCTTTGCAGAAAGATTCAACAGTGGTGATGTGGCCAAAATTTCTAATTTACCTGAAAATGATTTTAATGAAAAGATTTCTGAAAAAACACCCCTACAAGTTAAAACAGAATCTGACTTTATTTGGGATCAGCTCTTGGCTAGTCCAAGAAAACTGAAAATCAAAGATATGGATTTCACAGATTTAGGAGATGAAGATGATATTGACATATTGGACATACAGATCAGTTCTAGTGATGCCCTAGTTCCTCCTCCACCACCCATACCTTCTGTTTTAGGTTTTCCTCCTCCACCCCCTCCATTGCTTTATAGGTGTCCTTTTCCACCCCCACCTTCTGGTAATTTAATGGCTCCATGTCTATCAAGCACCCCTCAAGGTTTAGGGTCATCCCCACTTCCTAGAGATGAAGCAAACTTTATAAAAAAGAAGAAAACCATTCGTCTTTTTTGGAATGAGGTGAGGCCATTTGAATGGCAGGGCAAGGAAAACAGACACTGCAAAGGATTCCTGTGGTCAAAACTAGAGCCTATTAGAGTAGACACTGCCAAATTAGAATACCTCTTTGAGACTAAATCCAAGGATCTTCCTATCACAAAGGTACTCTTCTTTATATATCTTAATTTTGTTTGTATCATAGCAAAATTTATAAATAATTCATTAACTACTGGAGTCAGGTTTCCATATATAATAAATAATGTTTTATAAGGTAAAGGTAGTCTTTGACTTGTGATTACAATTGAGCCCAAAATTTCTGTTGCCAAGTAAGACATTTGTTAAGAGAGTTATACCCCATTTTATGACCTTCCAAAGCCACAGTTATGTTAATCTTAACAATTTCCCCATTGCCTTACTTGTCAGAAGCTAGCAAAAACTGATCACATGACCCCAGGACACTGCAATTGTCATAAATATGAATAAGTTGCCAAGCATCTGAATTTTGAACATGTGACCATGAAGATATTGCAATAATCATAACTGTGAAAAACGCTCATCATTGACTTTTTTGGGTGCTATTGTAACTTCAAACGGTCACTAAACAAACTGTTTTAAATTGAGGACTATCTGTACTGAGAATCAAGAAAATTGCCTAATAAGTTTAAAACCTTAAATGAAGTTCAGTACCATGTGTAAAAACCAGATTAAAAAGAATCTAAATTGGGACAAAGAGTTAATTTCTTCCTCATTTTCTTTTTATCACTAAAAATCTCTATGACTTAAAAAATTAGACAAATACCAATTTTTTGTTTCTTTTCAGATTGCTAACAGGAAGAAATCTCTCATATTGTTGGGGAATGTCAGATAGGAAATAGATTTTGGTCCTATTCTGGGAATTACTCAGTGTACATACTTGGCAGTTTAACTACCATATTTTTGGTCTTGTCTGAAAGATACTGTAAGTGCTAAGTGGAATTATAGTCCTTTGGGGATATTCCAATCCAGTTGGGCATACAAAGAGAGTAGTAGGTCTCCACCTCCTTCTGACATTCTTTTTACTTGTAAATTTTATTTCTAGAAATTCTGTACAGTTAGGACGTGCAATAGGCAATAGCTGGTTCTCTTATACTGTCAGTCACTCCCCCCCCCCCATAACATAGAATAATAAGGTTGGAATGAACCTTGGAGGTCTTCTAGTCCAACTTCCTGCTCAAGCAGGAGACACTATATCATTCTGCACAAATGGCTGTCCAATCTGTTTTTGAAGTGATAGAGAGATAGAGCTCCTACAATTTCTGGAGATGAGTTGTTCCACTGATTAATTGTTCTCACTGTCAGGAAATTTCTCCTTAATTCTAGGTTGGAGCTCTCTTTAATGATCTTCCATCCATTACTTGTCCTGCCTTCTGATGCTCTGGAGAATAAGATGATAGCCTCTTCAGTATTAGAAGACTGCTGTTATATCACCCCCAATCCCTCTCTTTGTTAGACTAACAAACCTAATTCCCTCAATCATTCATTGTACAGTTTAGCTTGTACAATGTTGCTCTTCTTTCCAGTCTTTCTAGGGTCTTGTGATCTTTTTTGTATCATGGTGACCAGGGCACATGATCTTGAAACTGTTTATTGATGCAGCCTATGGGTTGGCTTTTTTGGCAGTTGCAGCATGCTGCTGGCTCAAACTATGTAGTGGTTGACTAGCATATCTAGATCCCTCTCACAATTGCAACTGTTGAGCGAGGTACTCCTATTCTATACTTGTGCATTTTTCTTATCTGTATGTAGGATCTTACTTTTCTCACTACTTAATTACATTTTGTTGGATGAGGCCAAGTGTTCAAGTCTGTCACAATCCTTCTGAATTGAGTTATATTCTAAACCATTAGCTGTTCCTCAAAGGTTGATATTGTCTGCAAATATGATGAATTCCCCTCCTATTCGCTTATCTAAATTGTATATGAAGATGTGGAAGAGTATTAGGCCTAAGAACCTTGAGGTACCTCACTGCATGTTTTCCTCTATATAGATGTAGTTCTATTGGGGGCTATATACTGAGGATGGGTTATTGGCCAATCCATCTGGTAGTGGTACTACCCACTACCACAATCTATCCCACGTTGTTCTACCAACAAATAGGCTATGGTCTACTTTGTCAACTGCCTTACTCAAGACCAAGTATACTGTGTCCATAGCATTTCCCTTATCCATGAATTTAAGTTACTTGATCAAAGAAAGCAATAGGTGTTTCTGGTATAATCTGTTTTTGACACATCCATGCTGGTTTCTAGTAATTATTTTGTTCATTTCTAGGTGTTCACAAAAGCGCTGCTTATTTTTTTCAGGATTTTCCTATGTATTGATGCCAGGCTGTAGTTTTCTAGATCCAATTTTTTTTCTCTTCTTGTAGATTGGAACCATATCAGCTCTTTTCCAGTCCTTTGGTATTTCTCTGGCAGTCCAGGAGCTTTGAAAGATTCTGTTCAGTGGTTCGAAGATCATGTCTGACAGCTCCTTCAGAACTCTGCAATATAATCCATTGTCTAGGGTGGATGTTTTCTTAATATTTTCTTGCCTATTTTGACTTCCACTTCTAGTCTGTCTCCTAAGGTGCTGCTTTTGATAGATAGGACTATTTTTTTCCTTTTGTGTGAAGGCAGATGCAAAGAATTCCACTTTCTCCCTGCTGCCATTCACATCCTTGCCATCTTCTCTCATTAGTGAACCAATCATTTCCTTGACTTTTTTTTGTTTCTTACATGTTGAAAAAAATGTTTTTATTATTTTTGGCATTTGTTGCTTAGTTCATTATGAGCCTTAGCTTTCCTGACTTCATCCTTGTAGATTCATGCTATTTGCTGGTAGCCAGCAAATAGCATGAAGGTATATGTTTAGGTATATGTTTCTCTTTCCATTTTTATACTTGTTCTTTTTTTTTTCTCTTAGTTTGTCAAAAAGTTTTTTATGCAACCATGCTGATTTCATTTGGTGTTTCTTATTTTTCTTTCTCTGTGGTATTATGATAGATTAGGGTTTATATCTTCTTTTTTCAGAGTTTTCCAAGCATCTTGAGTTTTTTCTCCTTTAGGATTTTCATCCATGGAATTCTTCCTAAACTATCTCTTAGTTTGTTAATGTCAGCTCTCTTAAAGTCTAAGAGACTAATTTGACTTGGTTCAATTATTTGTGCCTGCATTATGTATGAACTATATTTTATGTATGAATTATACATGCTTTATACATAAATTGAAGAAAACATAACAAAACAAGGCAAAGTTGTCTCCATATATTTTCCTTATATGTATATTTTTTAAGAACTTCATATTAACTGAGATTTGAGATGCACTGTCAAATGTTTCTATGATTTTTCATTCTGTCACATGTTTAATATATTCATTGGAACTGTTTTTTTTTCCAGAATGCACATTCTGAGATCTTTTATGTGCAAAATGGCTGAAATACAGATCTGATATTTATGAAAGAGTTCTATGTATTAAGATCTTTCTATAAAGAAAAAAAAAACCTATATTTCCAATACAGATATCAGATTATTATTTTAAAAGAATATGTAAGAATTGTGTGAACACTGAGCTGTGAATTGGATGTATAAATGGCAAACAGACAAGAAAAAATTATATAAATAAAAATATATATCTGGGAATTCTTTTTGTGAAACAATGTCAAATGTAAGGACTACTACATACACAGTTCCAATGAATATATTAAACATGTGACAGAATGAAAAATCATAGAAACATTTGACAGTGCATATTAAGCTCTGAAAAGGAATTATGAGGTATTCTCTAATTATAAAATAGTGAATTTCTGTAATTCAACAAAATTTCAGTCTGACTGTTTTTATTTTTGATGATAAAAGTAATCTCCATAAAGCCATTTTCCCCACCCCTTTTTTTTAAAGACCAAGTTTCCTTTAAAATTTGAAATGTTAAAAACTATTCTTAAAGTCTTTGCACTGCTTGCCATTGATTATTTGCTATTATTTATTAATGAGATTTGTTCATTGCCTCAAACCTAGGCTGCTTACAGTAGTCAGCAAAAATCAAATAATTAATTAAAATAGTTAAATCCAAAATCTAATCCCCCAAATTAGGTACTGAAATAAAAGAACTAAATTTCATTTGATCAGTCTTTCCTTGGCTTTTTAGAGCCAGGTTCTGCCATCTGCACACCCCATTTCCAATGAGCTGCTGTTCATTGCCTGTCAACCAGCTCTCTAGCAGTCTCTGTGTTAGATAATTCCTAACAAATCATGAGAACACAGAGGGGACACCAAGACAATTTAGAATGGAACAAGGCCATTACAGGTAGCCCTTGACTTACAACCATTTGTTTAGTAAGCATTCCTAGTTACAAAAACTGAAAAAAGTGACCTATGACTGGTTTTCACACAACCATTGCAGCATCCTCATGGTCACATGATCAAATTTAGGGCATTTGGCCTAAATGAGAGTTGCACTGATACCCTTTGTAACCTTCCCAGGTGGCTTCTGACAAGCAAAGTCAAAGGAAGAAGCCATATTCTCTTAACAACCACATGATTCACTTTACAACTGCAGTGATTTGATTAACAATTGTGGCACAAAGGACATAAAACAGGGCAAACCTGACTTAACAACTGTCTTGCTTGGCAAAGGTAATTTTGGGCTCAATTGTGATCTTAGCTTAAGGACTACTTGTATATTAAATATTCTTGAGTTTGGGTTGGGGGGAGTGAACTGTGAGAAAAAAATTCCCCTTAACTGTACTAACTATATGTGGAATAATTATTTTGATAGTATTTCAAAATTCTGTTACATTACCTATTAGCAATAAAAATCTTTTCCAAAAACCAATTGGTTATTTCCTGAATGTGCCTGCCATAAAAGTCTTAACAGTCCACAACAAAACCTCTCTGAATAATATGAAAAAAAAATCCAATCTCCTAATGAGTCATTTTAAAACTAATAATGAAGACTAAAATCCCTGCCTTAAAACTTTATCAACATGCAAAGTGAGTGAGACATTGGAAGCTTCCTTCAATTTCCCTCTCACCAAACTTCCAGAAGCCCCGTTAGATACAGATCTCTTCAGCAATTGCAGCATTATTCTTACTGAATGTGGGGCCCTAAGAGCACAAAGTGAGGAAGATTCCTTCAATAATCCTCCAGCTCCTCCTGAATACCTTATTGGGTCCATCAACATCTGACTGAGTGCAAAGAAACCACCTGGAAATCTTGAAATACTTCTGATACTGAAAAAGAAAAGAATTTTTCCCCTGACCCACAAGAAACTAAATATATTTAATATTATTATTCTTCAAGAGGCTTGGGTGTGTTGGAGCATAATATTTATATGATCTTTATATTGGGGGCAATTCAAATACTAAAGATGGGACATCCTCAGGCAGCCTTAGCATATTTATTTCACAGAAATTATCTCTAAACAATCTTGGGCAGACAGTCCTTGAATTATGATTCATTATAGTAGCCCTAGAAATTAAATAAATAAATAATGCAGCCTGCTTATCATGATTATAACTCATGATCATAAAGCAGGTTGGACATGTGACTGACCTGATTTTAAGACCTTTTTTGCAGTGATCATTAAGTGAATTACTGTAGTCGCTAAGTGAATCCATCGTCATTAAGCAAATGCCATGGTCATTAAGCAATGCAAGGGTTCACTGAAAATGTGATTTTTCTAAAAAACAGAAGTAAATGTAGGTTTTCTGCAAAACTGTCATGAAACAGTCATGTGACTGGGACACCCTAAAGTCTGCTAATGCAATCTGGTTGTCAAGTACTGAGGTGCACCCATGTAACCACAGGAAGGGGCAATGATCAGAATTTGATCTAGTTCACAAATACCCCTGTTACAATTTAAATAGCTGCTAAGCAACCAGTTATAAGTCAAGGCTATCTGTATTACATCCATGCATCCATTATATCATACCCATTAATGATTTGATTCCTCAAGCTGTTTTTATTTATTTATTTAATATCTATATTTCTCCCAAGTATCTATTGTGCCAAACTAATAAAATATAGGATCCTTTCAAGGAATATAGTTCCAATCTACTTGAGTTGTGATCATATGCTACCATCATATTGGTATTTGTCTGCTATGGTATTTATTATAGAAGACACAGATTTCCTGCCTTATTCTAAAAAACTGTACCTTGGGAGGAATTACTAAGTGAAAGTAATCTTGGCAATTTTTTCCCTACATTTCTCTACATCAGACATGTTAAACTCGCGATGTCATGTGACGTTGCGTGGTGTATCGGAACTTTTTCCCCATTGCCAGCAATGGGGTAGGCGCAGTTTCATTGTGACGCATCAGCCCACGGGCCGGCAATTTGACATCCCTGCTCTACATAGTGACATCTTCTTCAAAGGATACTTCAGTGCTATTCATTTATACTGATGGATCCAAAAACTATTAGTTATATAACATTTGTTAATCCCATTGCCAGTCCCTATCCTGCCAAATGGTAGTTGTGTGCAAAGCAAGCTAAGAAAAGGTATTGATGGCTTTGAGAAGATATTCACCAATCACATTACTTAGAACAGGTTTGATATTTAAAAGTAGCCCAGTTAACATCTGATAATGGAGGAGGCAGTTGCTAAGTGTATTGAAGAGAACTCCCTCTCACTTTACCTCAAAATCACTTCCCCTATCCCGGGGTAGTGGAGGCAGGCAATTTTTAAACATAAATTTAATACCCTGCTAAACTTATAAACTCAGATTTAAAAGCAGCTCAGATGCAGCATCGTGAGGTGATGCAACCTGAAACAGGAGAAAGGTAGATGTTCCTTCCTTTCCTACTTCTCTGTACAGATTCCACCTCTACTCACATCTGCTATTGACTAATCCAGGTACCCAGGCCAAGGATTGATTCTGACCAAAAGAGATGGTTCTTTCTGGGGCTCAAATTGACAGCAGTAGTGCTGACAGTCTTCAGAAGTACTCCCAATCCACAGTAATAACAACAACAGTAATTATTAATCACTGATTAAATTTCTTCCAAATCCATTCAGCCAGCCATTCATTTTGTTGTATTATGCTGCCAGTCTTTGTGATAGGGAACACAAAATAATGGTTCTAAGTTAAAGGAATACCTAATTCCAATTAAATATTAGAAAAATCTTTCCTAAAATAAGGGCAATTTGAGTGTACAATTATCTAGAGAAGTAGATTTGATTCATTGGAAGTAATTGTAGACTTATCTGCTAGGCATGCTTTAATCTGGATTCCTGCTTGAATTCAGTGGTCTAATAGTCCATCCTGAATCTTTTATTCTATTATCTTCTTATCTTTTTCCTATTATAGAATAAATAATTATTTAATTGGTGGATATGCATAATAAGGAGCAACAATTCAAACATAACCATATACATTTAAAAATCACAATAACAGAGTAATAAAATGAGGAGTTTCTTGTTTACATCACCTGATCCAAAATAGCATCAAGAGTCATGTACTGCTAACTGTGATGGAATGTGCATCTGCAGCAGCAGAGGGAAAGTACTTGGCCATTCAGAGCTTTCCCAGAAAGAGGCCTGATTAAGAGACTGCTGTCCTGAGTGGGAGGGGGGAAGGTAGCCATACGATAGACTCTCCCAAGATATATTTAGTAGATTAGAAATTTATTGCTTTACTTTGGGCCTGATGTTAATTATTTAAATAATGTTAAAATATGTACTGCTTTTATAACCAGTTATATAGCTGTAGGCAGCTATATAAGTGTTTTAAATAAATACACATTCAATGTAGTACAGTAAAGAAAAAGATGCCTTGCTCAGAAGTTTAAAAGCTACAAATGAATATATATTCATGTTAGCCTATTACTGCAGCCTAAAAAATAATACACATTTCACTAATGTTGATCTAAAAAAGAAAAATCAGAAAGATGTGACAATGAATAGCAACAAGTATTTTTTTTTCCTGCAGAATAAGTTTTGAGCAACCAGAGTCTAAACAAGAATTACATGTTTGAGCAGCCGTGGCACTGCTGCACCACAATTCCTTTCTAGAAGGGAATTAAAATTAACAATAAGGTCCAACTTTAAATGTTCCTAACTCAAGCTATTTCTTTATTTTCAAAATAGGTGCTTCTGCCACTTTTATCAACATAAATATAATATAAAATAGCAGTTAAGATATTGGATGAGACCCAGGGAGATCAAGTTTAAATCCACCCAAAGCTATAGCTGGTTACTGAACTACTTTGTGCTACTTTATCTCTCTCAGTCCAGTCTACTTAATAGCAATTATTGTTGTGGAGGAGAGAATTGGAGAATTGTTGTTGTGGAGCAGGGCGTTAGAGGAGGAAGAGCTCCTCTAAACTGTCTTGAGTTCTTGAAGAAAAGGTGGGATACAATTTAACAGACAAGTAAATATCTCATGAATCTTCTAAGAAAAGTCTAAAGAATCTATTACAAGTTCTACTTTTACTGTAGAATTATGGAATTCTGTAGAATACTACTGTATAGAATTCTACAAATACTGTAGAATTGTAGCATTTACAGTAGAATTACAACTAGGTGAATAAATATCTAAATATTGAAGTCAGACTGGGGGAGGGTTTGTTTTGTTTTGTTTTATCCAACAATTATCTGGCATTTCAGTTTTTGAGGATTTCTACTGCTTTTATTTACCGTACCTTCTGGCGTATAAGACGACTTTCGCAAGAGTTAAAATCGGCGCCAAAGTCGGGAGTCATCTTATACGTCGAGTCATCTTATATGCCGGAAATAAAGGTAGTTTCCAGCGTATAAGATGACTTTCTAGGCATGTGACTCGGCGCCAAAGACGGGGGTCGTCTTATACGCCAGGTCGCCTTATACGCCGGAATATACGGTATTTTATCCAAAAGAGACAAAACTAAACTAAACAAAAACACTGAAAACATGTGAATAAACAAGGACAAAAAATATAATCTCCACCAAGTTAAATACTGATAAATATATTGCAACAATAATAGTTTCTCCCTTGCAAAACAGGTCCAAAATGTATGTTTGTACATCTATTTACAACCCAATTGACATATCATACATTACATACATGAAAGAAAAAAAATAACTAGTTAAAGAACAATGAAGTTAAAGTTCAAAGCACTCTGTTAACAGTCTGTTATTGTAATTCACTCGTAGAAAGTCTACACCAGACATGTCAAATTTGCGACATCATGTGACATCGCACAATGTATCGGAGCTTTTTTCCCATTGCTGGCAATGGGGTGGGCACGATTTCCTGGTGACAGATCTGGCCCACGGGCTGGAGTTTGACACCCCTGGTCTATACAGTTTCCTATTTACCACAAATCGGCCAAATCATTATCTCTAAGTCTAGGGTCAAATACCCTTGTTTGATTCTTAATAGGTAAATCTTTCCTTAGATTTTTAATTGGGAACTTTCCCAACAATTCCATCTCATTTCCGAAGTTCATAAGTCTCATGTATCTTTTAAGAAAAATCTAAAGAATCTATCACAATTTCTACTTTTGCTGTAGATTTATCATGTTATCCAATGCTATTCTAGCTTAATTAATAGATAGATTTAATTACTTAAAGAATATTTATATGACTGAAGAAACATAAAAGTTTACAATCTCTGCTTCTTATTCTCAGAAAACTGCTGCTGATGGCAAGAGGCAAGAAATCATTGTCCTGGATTCCAAGCGGAGCAATGCTATTAATATAGGACTGACTGTATTACCACATCCAAGGACAATCAAGGTTGCCATTTTGAACTTTGATGAATATGCCTTAAATAAGGAAGGAATAGAGGTACTGAGAAAACCATGCAGAACATTATGTTAAAAAGTATATTGTTTCCATGTACTAGTGTTTGAAAATATGTTGATATATGAATTCTCATAATGGACTATCTGATTACTATTATGTAATATTTTCTCCTTCTGCAGACATATAATCTTTTTAAAATCAATCAGCAATATGGGGCATAATTTTAACTTTTGAACAAAACATGCATTCATACTCATATTTGTTTCAATGTCACAATAAAAAACCCAATTTTCTTCTATTTTCCAATTAACCAATATAAAGCCAGAAAAAAACCAACATCATGGGGAGATATATAAAATCATAGGACTCCATAAAGGCTTAGCTTAGGTGTGTGTTCAGTTCTAGCTATAGTCTAAATGAGGGGTCCTTGGTGCTCTCTGAGCTTGCTTATTTTCTTGCAAATGTTTCATTACCCTAACCAGGTAACATCATCAGTGCTAGTAAGGAGTGCTATTTGCTGTCAGTTTATATTCTGGTGTCTTGCTTGTCTGGCTGGTTGGGGGTGGTCTTAGGGATTCTTTGGTTGATGTCTTTCACCAAATAAATCAGAACTCGGAGGCAAGAAAGTTCCTCAGAGAACATGTTTATTGGCTACATAATATCGGCACGAACAAAAGTGAAATCAGATCTAAACTTTCCTCCCAAGAAACAAAGTAATACAATGTAACAATTCCCAACCCTCTACTCATGCTATCCAATAGAACAACTTGGTGGGTTTTCTGACTAAACGATCCTCCTTCTCCCCTTCGGTATGGGAATGACCTTGGTTCCCACAAGATTTGCTAATGTTTAGACTACCAGAAATAACTTTTCCCCCTCCCTTTCTTGTGGCAACCTAGAACAACAAAAATGGCTGTAGCCAGGTGCATTGTAGAGTTGACAGTCTCACCCCTCTAAGGAGAAAACAAGTTCTGTGAAAGAAGCAGAAGCACGTTAAGAATCCCCCCTAGGCTTTTGAGGATGCTTATCATAGAATTTCTGTATTAACCTCTCTGCCTTTACATCCCCACTCTTCACCCAAGTAGCTTCTGATAAGGGATACACTTTCCACTGCACCAAGTATTGCAATTTCCCTTTATATAATCTAGAACCAAGAATGTGTTTTATTTCATAAGAAGTCTCGCCCTCCACTGTAATGGGGCCTGGTGATTTTTACAGAATTGGTCTCAGTGTGGACTCTGGCTTTAACAAACTGCAATGGAAGATGGGGTGAACTTTTCTTAACAGTTGTGGGAGCTTTAATTCAATCATGACAGGATTAATGATTTTGACTATGGGGAAAGGACTGAGGAACTTAGGTCCCAATTTCTTATTGGGGAACGTCAATGTCATATACTTAGTAGATAGGTAGACTTTCTCTCCTACATAAAATGGTCTCTAGGGAGATTGCCGCTTGCCGGCTTGCTCCTTGTATACTTTAGCAGCTTGGGTTAGGGTTTGCTTAATGTTTACCCAAGCACTCTGTAGGAATGTCATCCACTGATTTAAAGTTTGTGAGGAGAGGGGCATAGGAACAAATTCCCTGCTGGTTGCTGTTTTAAACAGGTAAGTCCAGTGCTACAATGAACGATATTATTGTAGGCTACTTCAGCAAAAGGCAGGAGGTCTGCCCAATTAGTCTGTTCACAGTTGACATAGCGTCTAAGGTACTATTCCACCATTGCGTTCATACAACTGATCCATTCATGCTCAGATGAAAAGTGGAGGCGAGCCCCTGGGTCAACACAATCAGTTTCATAAACTCCTTCCAGAACTTGGTGGTGAATTGAACTCCCCTATCTGATATAACCCTTTTTGCATTCCATGGAGTTGGTAAATATGCCTGAAAAATAGCTTGGTGAGTTTCTGGGCAGAGGGAAGTCCCGGACAACCAATGAAGTGAGTCTGCTTCGAAAAAAGATCAGTGGCAGTCCAAAATACAGTATTTCAGTTGTTTTCGGGCAGTTCTACAGTAAAATCTATTGCTATTTCTTCTCGGGTTTGGGAAGGATCTACCACTTACTGCAATAGTTCAGGTGGTTTCCCAAACTGTTTTTTTTTATGGCAGCACAAGTCACACAACTTTTCACATAACTTTCAATGTCCTTTTTCACTCCTGGCCTCCAGAACTGCCAGCTCACTAAATGTGGAGTTTTCAGGAACCGAAAGTGGCCAGCTTGTTTAGCATCATGGCTCCACTGGAGGGCTTGGGTTCTTAGAGGGCTGGGAAAATACAACAAAGACCCTTTCCAGGCTAGTCCATCTTGATAGGTTAACAGCTGCCTGTTGTCACTGAACCAGGGGTCTGCTTTTAGTTTGTCTTTGAGTTTCTGAGTCAAGTGGCTGTCAGGCTCTATGGATCATCTCTGAGTTTGACACCTAGTGGTTACTTGAGAGGCTTTTTGGGGTGGGGGAATAATTGCGTTACTTACTTCTACATGGCGGCTTTTGTATTGAGGCATTCTGGATAGTGCGGCAGCAGGAAGTTCTTTCCCCTGGAATGTATTTTAGGGCAAAGTTAAAATGGTTGAAGTATTATGCTCATCAGACCTATTTAGGAGATAATCTCCATGGGGTCTTCAATGCCTCTAGGTTTTTATGATCAGTCCATACCTGAAAAGGAGTTTCACTTCCCTCTAAAAAGTGCCAGCATGGGAGTAATGTTCATCTGACTACAAAAGCTTCCTTCTCCCACACCGCCCTTTGCCTTTCTGTGTCTATAAGTTTCTTATAGATACAAAAAGGCAAAGGGCGGTGTGGGAGAAGGAAGCTTTTGTAGTAAGATGAACATTACTCCCATGCTGGCATTTTTTAGAGGGAAGTTAAACTCCTTTTAGGTTTCTTTGAGGTGTAGGCACCTGGTTGTAGGTCCTATTTGTCAATGCTCTATAGGAGCATCTACAGCAACATCATTAATATCAGCCTGGATGATGAACTGCTTTTCAGGGTTGGGATGTTTTAGGATTGGTTCCTCCACAAATTGTCTTTTTAGCTGTTCAAACGCTTCTTGATATTCTATGGTGCATTTAAAGGTTGACCGGAATTAGATCTCCCTCCTTCCTTACCCATTTTCAATAGTTCAGTGATCGACAAAGCTATTGTGACAAAGGAAGAGCTACAGCTGTTTATGAGTTCTCTGAGGCTATCATTCCAATACAGCCTTAACTTTGATGGAGTCCATTTTCACCCTCTCATGGGAAATCTGGTACCTAAATAGTCAGGGTGGGACTGGTGGAATTCACACTTAGACAGCTTAGCGTAGAAGTTTGTCTTTAAGAGTCTCTTAAGCACCTCCAGGACCAACTTTACATGCTCCTCCTAGGTTTCTGTGTAAATGAGGATGTTGTCACTCCCTAGTAGAGATAATCATGCAGCACCTGGCTCATCAGCTGCATAAATACAGCAGGAGCCCTTTGAAGGCCAAAAGCATCACTTTAAATTGGAAACTTCCTAGGGGGCAATTGAAGACGTGACTTTCACTCATCTCACTCCCTGATTCTTGCTTGATAATAAACCTCCCTTAAATCCAGCTTAGTAAAGACTTTCCATCTTGCAAGGTGGGCTAACATGTCCTTCATCAGGGGGAAAAGATACATATTTTCCACGCTCAATCCTTTAAAATCCATGCGCAACCTCAAAGACCCATCTTTCTTCTCCTTAAATAGCACTGGGGTGACTACTCGTGATTTGGCTGGTTCGATGAAACTCCTAGCTAGTTTCTTGTCTATCTACTCCCTTAACGCATTCATCTCTCGGGGGGGGGGTCATGGAGTACATCTTAGGCTTTGGAAGTTTGGTCCCTGGCAGTATTTCAATCACACAATTGGTAGTTCAGTGAGGGGAAAGTATGTCACAGTCCTCTTTGCTGAAAGCTCTTGTTAGATCACGGTATTCCATTGGAATGAGTTGGACCCCTGGCGTTCAATCTATGGTGGCTCTTAGCAGCTCACTCGTTCCCCCCTTCCCTCAGTGTCTGGCTGATTTCAGAAGGTTGGAGGGGTCCTGTCACTAGTCTCAAGGTTCTCACCCCTTTCTCCCACCAAATAGAAGGGCACCATTTGTCAAGCCATACTATTTCCAGAATCACTGTCTCAGTCATTTTGGGGGTAACCACAAAGCAGATGATCTCCCAATGTCGTCCCATCTCCAACTGGATTGGTTCAGTTAAATGTGTTGCAGGGGAACCCTCCCCCATCAAAGATCCATCTGCCTGCTCAAATTTCATGGCTATGGGTAACAGCTTGGCATGGATTCCTAATTTAATTACAGTCAGGAGACTAATCAGGCACCTTAGGCAACCCAAGTCTATTAGGACGTTTACGTCCATCTGTGCCCCAGTCTTTGGCACTATAAGTTTGGCAGCAATGGCAAAAGGTGGGATGGGCTGATCTACCATTAGGTTGTCCTCACATCATTGTTGCTGTCATAGGGTGCTGGCAGTTGTAGGCACTCAGCCAGAGCTCTCTCTCCCCCCTGGGTAGGAGGGGGGAGCTCGATGCCTTGGCCTTGGCAAACCCAATTCGATCTCTCTCATCCTCTCTGTGGAAGCCTTTTCCACATGGTGATAATGGCAGGCATGCTTCTGCCCTGAGGAGCAGGAGTCAGGCTATCAGCTGCCCAGTGACCCTGCTGTCCACACCTGAATGGGAGCTCCAACAGGCATTTGGGCAGTACTGGCACTGGGCTTCCTGCAGCAGGCCAACTTGATGTCCAGGGTCACAGCTATGCAATACATTCACGGAGTTGATCAGGAATTCCCCGGTAGGTGCACACCTGGAATAAATCACGATCTAGCCCAGCGGTTCTCAACCTATGGGTCGCGACCCCATTTGGGGTCGATTGACCATTTTTCGGAGGTCGCCAAAGAAGGCGATCCGCCATTTTCTCCCCTCAGGGGGCGGCGCCGCGCATGCGCGCTGTGCATGGGGGCAGCGCCGCGCATGTGCAGAATGTTTGTGTGACGGGGGTCGCCGTCATACAAACGTTGAGAACCGCTGATCTAGCCCCTCCTTGAAATAATGAATCAGCGATCGTTCTGGCCACTTGTGATCTTCCCAGTAATTTTCTGGAATTCCCGGACATACTCTTTAGTGGGTCATCCCCTCTGTTTTAGGCTATGGATTTCTATCTCACCTTGCAGAGCCCGGAATTCGTCTTCGAACAACATCTATAGATTATGCAAAAGAGACAATCAACCAGCCCCAAAAGAGGAAAAGACTCCAGCATCTTTCCACTAGCAATCAGCACTCAGATCAGCAAGGTCACCTTCAGACCAGCACAGAGCCATTAGTAAACAGCCCAATCAAAGAATCCCTAAGACCGTCCCCACCCACCCAGACAGGCAAGACACCAGAATATAAATGACAACAAACAGCACTCCTTACTAGCACTAATAATGTTACATAGGGTAATGAAATGCCTGCAAGAAACAAGCAAACTCAGAGAGCACAAGGGCTCTCATTTGAACCCTGAGCTACAAATATTCTCCTTCATTTGTAGCCGTAATACCAGTGTGTACTTGGTTAATTCAGAGTACTAAATACTAAATTTTAATCAATTGAGATGGAACAGATATGTGAGGGCCATGCAAATTTTCTCAAAATGGTACAAAATCTCATGTGAGTACACTGGGATCTCATGAAAGTTCAGTGTTCTTTCTTAAGAGATTGGACTTTGTACAGGTCAGTTCTCTCCCTCTCCCCAAGAATATTGTGACAGTTTTTATCCTGTATATGTGATGTCCTAGTGCTGCTTGTTTTTGAACCTCTGAGTCAGTACATATGATTTTAATAAGCAGTAGGTACATGATTCTTCAGCAAAATATCTCTTTTAAATTATGTTGCACAGAATTGAAAAGGTAAAAGTGATTTTTATAAATGGTTAATTGTAATATTTTAAACAATTATTAAAATAAATGAAATGTAAATATTTTGCGTAATTTTGGTGTGGATAATACTGAATCACTTATATTTTTAATAAGAAAAGTTAGGAGTTCTGTCAAGAAAATTTACAAAATTTACAAAACAAAAGTATTTTTCAGCTTTGATATAGTCAGTGTAAAAGACCAATCTATATAGTTTGTCTTTGATGCGGTGGTTTTTGTTTTGTTTTGTATGTTTTATTTTGGTCTTTCTAGAAAATTCTTACAATGATTCCCACAGAAGAGGAAAAGCAGAAAATTCAAGAAGCTCAGTTAGCCAATCCTGATATCCCTCTGGGTACTGCTGAACAGTTCCTACTGACCCTGTCTTCCATTACTGAGCTCACTCCTAGACTTCAGCTCTGGGCATTTAAAATGGATTATGAGCTTGTGGAAAAGGTAATTTCTTATTGCTGAATAAATATAATTGTTTCTGAATTTCAATTTAACCTATTTTCTCTCATCCTGGGGAATTTCTCTCTGCTGAACTGTTCATTAATGCCATTTTGAATATTCAATAGAATAAGAGGGCACTTAGTCTTTTGAGGGTAAAGGTTTCGTTCTCTGAGCTTGTGGGTTGGTTTCTGTATATTTCATTACCAGGCTAGTTAACATCTTCAGCAGAGTTTAGGGGATGTCAGTGTTCTTCAGTGAGTATTGTGATGGGGGTTGGTTGAGGGTCAGTGCTGTCTCTGGTTGGCTGTATAGTTTATTTGGATTCTGAGGCGTTTGTAGGCTGGTTGTAGGTCAATATGTCTGTTGATGTGCCAGGCTTCATGGCAGGCAAACACCATGATCCCAAATCCTTAATCTTTACTCATATCAACACCAAACTGCACCAGTTTGATTGGAGCAACACAAAAATCATTGGCCACGCTACCACTTGCCACACTTGTAAGTTCATCAAAGCCTGGCACTCCGCAAGCAATTCCATCAACAAATATATTGACCTATAACCAGCCTATGAACCCCTCAGAATCCAAATCAAACACGCAGCCAACCAGAGACAGCACCGACCCTCAACCAACCCATGCAAATCCCCCCTCCCACCAGCAGTTCACCTTCCAATGACCCCAACCTGATGTAACCTCCCCATCACAAGACACATCACAAGATTCACTGATGACTCAAACCTGACTCATTACAAGACCCATCACAGACCCTCACTTGATACACCCATATCTGAAGTCCTTATAAACAGAAGAAAACTGACATCCCCTAAACTCTGCTGAAGATGTTACTTAGCCTGGTAATGAAACATTCAGAAACCAACCCACAAGCTTGGAGAACTAACCTTCACCCTCATCCTACACTCAAGCTACAGATATTCACCACTACTGCAAACTCAGTCTTTTCCTTAAAAAGTAATGATAATATTTCCTTATTTCCACAGCTGAAGCACAGTGCACTTGAGCTGGGATGAGAATTATATCAGGAAATAACCTTACATCCAAATATCTTATCAAGTAACTTAACTATTGCATCGCATTGGTTTTCACTTAATCATATCCACATAATTATCATACCATCCAACTAACTTATTGATCAGCATATCTTGGAGTACTGAGTCAAATGCTTTGTTGAAGTCAAGGTATATTACAGTTAGAACGTTCCAAAATCTGTTAACAAAGTTACCCAGTCAAAACATTGGATGAGATTAGTCTGGCAAGATTCAATCAATCAGTTTGTTACAACCCTAAAGCCAGATACAATAAAATACCTAATAAAATAAAACAGAATAAAAATAGTATTATAAGAAGTTCCAAACTTAATGGTGTAACATACTGTACATAATGGTAGCACCAAACTGGGAGACTTGGGACAGTATTTTTGAATCCATGTATAAACAAAGTAACATTAAGTACAAATCACATTCCTTACCTGAAAATTTCTTCACAATGAAAGTCTGCCTAGAATCCTTATTAGTAGCACATGGCTTAGAGTTTCTCTTGAGCCATTTCCACACAGATATAATTTAAGTTACATAGCAATATCCTTAAAACTTCCCAAAAAGATTCTGAGGACAATGCATCCAGCCTGCCTAAAGTGAAGACCTTACAAAATTTCAGAATCATAATAAATAGGGGACTGAAGCAAAACCTTTTGGAAGAATACGGTTGTGTTTGGGGTGTGACACCTTGTTTAATTTTTTTGGAGATTACATTTGTTATTTGAGGGGCGGTTCTAACATTATAAAACCTAATGGACTTTCCATAAAGAAGTCCAGTAAATGAATTTTTGTCTAGAGATTTTATTAAGCCATGATGACTTAAAATGGAGCCAGATTTATAGGAAATATGATTAACTTTACCAAAAAGATAATAAGAAGAAACCATTCTCTAGTATTCAATAAATCTTTCCCTACAGATAAAATAGCATTTTAGATACTTTTTGAATTACAATATTGGTTTGAATACATTTATTTTGAATAGACTCAACAATGTTAAGCTTTGCAAAAGGATAAATTTGAGAGCCATAAAGAATCAGAGGGAGTACCTTAGTTTGAAAGCCTTATCTTGGATTACCTGCTAACTTCAAGTAAAATAAAAATAAATTTAAAAATCAGATGCAAAATCAGAACGCTGGAGAGATTCCTACAGGAACATTTATGACAAAGCAATTCCTTCTTACAGTACAAACTATTATCTTATTATCAGTTATAAAATGCTATCTGAAATCTCTGAAAAAATATTCTGAGATCTTTATTCAAAAATATGAAGCTGAATACACTTATTTCCATTAAGGCATAATTATGCAGAAACACCAAGTAGGCCACACACATATAATAAAAGGCAAGTTGTTAAAGTAAAACAAACTGGTGAAACTGTATTTCAGACAACATGGATTGCTCTGTATCTCTTTGTACAGTCTTAATATTGGACTCTGGGATTACAAGAAAGTAATTATAGCATCTCTAGAATAACATACTCACTGTCAATACAGAGAGTCTGGCAATATTTGTTCTTGACAATCCAGTGACCGCATTGTTTTCAAGATAACGCTTACATCAATCATAAGCTGTAGAAACAATTAGGTGAGTAAGTATCTAAATACTAAAGTCAGACTGGGGGGGGGGGTTGTTTTGTTTCTTTTATCCAACAATTATCTGGCACTTCAGTTTTCGAGGATTTCTATTGCATTTACTTATTTTATTTAAAACAAAGTAAAAACATTTAAAAATGTGAATAAAAAAGAACAAAAACACATTTTATCCCCACCTAGTTAAATACTGAAAAATATATTGCAACAATAGCTGCTCCCTTGCAAAACAGGTCCAAAATTTATAAGCTTGTACATCTATTTACAATCCAATTGATATGTCATAAATTACATTCATGAAAAAAATAGTTAATATGTTTAACCTCAATAAAGTTAAAGTTCAAAGCAATCTTTATTAGTTTGTTATTGTAATTTACTCATAGAAAGTCTACATGGTCTCCTATTTACCACAAATCACCTCAGTTATTATCTCTGAGTCCAGAGTCAAATACCCTTGTTCGGTTTTTAATAGTGAAATCTTTCTTTAAGTTTTTAATTGGGAACTTCCCCAACAATTGCATCTCATTTTCAAAGTTCATAAATCTTTGTTGTAAATATCTTTGCAACATCCATTGTTGAATAATTCTCCTTGACAGCACAACATTTCTCTTGCCAAGAAAGTCCAGTCCATCCTTCATGATATCCATTATCGCAGAATTTCTTATGTTCGTATTGTTTTCAACCTTTTGTAGCAGTTCTATATCTTTCAAATCAAACATTTTCTTCTTCTCATCTTACAGCAACAGATCAGATTCCAATTCCTCAAATTGCAAATTGAGCCCACCTGTTATTTCCTGCTTTTGAATACCATCTTGAATTTACAGAACTGTTATTGATCCATCAAGTTTTTTGTTTATGTTTTCAAATAAAATCTTAAAGTGGAGAACTTTCTTTTTTCCATTGCCTCCAAAATATTTTGTCTCTTTTTAGAGGCATGAGAAAGTACAAGAGAAGCAGATAAGTTGTAATAGCTTCCACAGGGAAAGGTGTTTTTTTCACCCCACAGTTAAAGAAGGGGGAATTTTCCCATAAAAAATTAAGAGATAAATATCAAGAACCTTTTTTTAAAAAAAGCTAGAAAGAGCAAAATTTATATTATAATCCTGTGTAAATGTAAATCTCACTGCAACTTCCTTAAAGTTAAAAATATTAAATTATTAAAAATAGTTTAAAATTTGATAATAAACAGTGAAAGAACAGGAAAAAAATGAAAAAGTCCAGTAGGGAGTAATAAAGTAGGTCAGAAGTCAACTAGTCATAAATCAAAAGATTGCAAAGCTTCACAAAGTGGAATTAAAACCCAGTCCTACTTAAGAAAAATTAGCAGCTGAAGGGAAAACCTGCAAGAGACCAGAGCTTCCAATTGCTCCTTGCCAAGAATTGCAGGCATCCAGGCCCTCTTCTTTTCTATTGATGCTTGATCATCCAAAGGTCATCTTAGGTCTTTCCGAGTCGCCCCTTCAAAAAATGGGAACAAAGCCACCAAATAACCAGCTTTGTTGGCAACATCAGCTGTTCATCAGAGGGAGAACACCATCAAGGGGGAGGGGATTTCTAAAATATAGTAAAACCTCTGAAAGTTGATCACTCAAGGGACTGAATGAAAGTGACCAATATACAAAACAACTACTGATATGTACACATGCCTCCTTTTATTGTACAGCTTTTATTAGAGAATGTCACACAGAAACACACAGTGAAAACACAGGAAAATCATTCATACAATACTGTATCATACAAAATCAATACAGTTACATATGCATTGTTTTCTCCTGGTTTAATCATTCTTTCTGAAAAAAGAGTCAGTTTTAGACTGTTTCTTATTCTTATTATGAAGTTAAGTGGAAAAAGCACTCTGAATGCTGCCTGTACCTCTCAGCATATTCCACAGCAAAAGATTTTAATGCATTATGAAATAACTGACATCCTCTTCTTTTGGAATATCTGTAATTTCTGTGTCCTCCTAACTTAATTCTTCTTGTGAGATGTAAAAACCCCAAATTTTGATACAATACGAAGACAAGTCTGGTTAACAATACAAAATTTTATTGGAGAAAAACATAAAAATAATAAAAAGAGAAGAGAAGAAAAGAGAGGCGTTTGAAAACGCGACCTCCTGGACCCTTCCCAATTGATTGGGTTCCAGGAACGCAACAGTTTCCAAGCTTTGCATTTTATACTTTTTACAATGTATGTCACATCTAAGAAGCTCTTTCAACTCCATAGCCATTATTTGAAGTTGTTTTTACACTTAATAGTTTATCCTGACACTTTCTTCCAATTTCCGTCCATCCGGGTCATAATTCATTATCTTTGCTGATTACCATTTGTGGTTACTCTACATAGGCAGGAAGCAGTAAACATTCCTTCTCATACATTGGCATTGCATTGTTAATTTACACTACATTAATACATTTGTGCTAAACATACAGTCTCATATATTGTTACATTGGGGCTTTATTTTTACATTTTATAAAAGAATAACTTTTATTTCCTTCAATTCCACCCTTTTTTTACCTGAATTATTCTTTTATACTTTTAATAGTTCATAACTCCCTATATTTTCTTTAGATTCCTGTGCAAGCAAGTTTTCATATTCTAAGTCTTCTTTCCCCAATGTTCCTTAAAGTTTTGGGCCCATGGTCTTTCCTTCCACCAAGAAGGCATGAAGGAAACAACAGTAGTAGAAGAAAAATATTGCAACATAGTCTAGGTTCTAGGAACATGATATCCAGGGTAGTCCAATCCATTGAGGTTTTTATCCTACTTAGATGGAAACAGTTCAACAGGTGAGGCAGGTTGAAATTTCATTTTTAGGCTGTCCAGCTGTGGAGCTTGTCACTGGAGAGGATATGATGGGACTTTCCATGGACTCACGCCTTGATTCCTTAAATCAGGAGGACTTGGCATGGTTGAGACCACTCAGGACTGATATTTCTAGGTGACAGTTCTTTTCACCTGAATCCACTCTCCAGGAACAATGACCAGAGATAGGTGGTAAGGCATCCTGGCCTGTACTGAGATAGAAGACAAAACCTGTGCCAGATTATGCAAATACTGAGTAACTTTCTTCTCTTCTTCATTGACATTCTTGAACCTTCATGTAAAAAAAGCCTTCCATACATTATTTCAATGAAACAAAGACAGCTTTCCAGTTGAGGCCTGTATTGAAATGGCCTCACCACTAAATGTTGTAAAGCTTTTTTATTTACTTGTATTTATCTCAGATTTGTTTAACTAAAGTATAAATACAACCATCCTGTTTTAGAAAATATCAATCACCCCTTGCAACTTCCCTTCAGTGGCTACTTCTGTGTTCTAGCCATTGTTTTTTCTTTCTTTTCCTTCCTTCTTTTCAACATCCGTCTCCCATCTTGCAATATCCACCTCCCACTTTCTTCTATTTTTCCATTCCTTCTCTCTTTCCATATTTCTATAGTACATTCTTGTTTCTTCAACATTCTAAGGCTTGTGTTAAGGCATACAATTCACACGTTTGGGCCGACCACATTAATGGCAGTCTCCCTGCTTAATGCATGCAATTCACAAGTCTGTGCAAACCAACTTAAGCAACTTTCCTATTTCTTACATCTATTATCCATTTCTTTATTTCCCTTCTGCCACTCTAGCATAACTTCTTTCTTTTCTTCTTCCACCAGTACATCTTCTATCAACTTTACATGAACCAGCTCTTTCCCTTTACTATTAATCAATCCTTTTCATTTCCCTTCTCCAAAAGTATTCAAGACTCCATAAGCACACTTGGAGTCAGTGTATATGTTCCCCTTTCTCCCTTATTAACAGCCTCAGAGCCTGCTGTAAGGCCCACAGGTTTGTGCTGACTAAGGGAGGGAAATTCATCCAGCCTCCACTCACATTTTCTCCTCCCCATTTACTATCGCATCTTCATTATGTCTCTCTTTTCTTTTTCCCAACTACTTTGCTATGAACAAGTGTGTACCTCCTTTCAGCTTCCTGATTAAAATTGCCCACACTTGATAAGAAACGCTAACCACCAAGATGTCCCCAAATGTCAATTTTAGACAAAAGTGCCACTGGCTGTCTCCCCCCCCCACATCTAGATCAAAACCTCCTCCAAGTCATTCCTTTGTCCTTATTTACAAACAAATTACCTAGTGAAGAGCCAACAAAGGAGAGCTCACCAAACTCTGTTTCTATTTGTTAACACAAGCTCTTTTTCTAACAGTTTTGCATACAAATCTTTAATCAAAACAGCATAGCTATTTATAATCCCAAAATTTCTCAACTTCTTTGCTTTAATTTCACAACAAATAAACAAGCTTAATAAGATATTCTGAGTTACTAAAATAGTTTTTATATCAAACTCTAGTATTGCTTTTAATATAAAGTTAGTCAAATTCCAATTTAATCAAATTCTATTCAAATGGAAACAAATTTCCATTAAATAGGGAAAACATTTTCAAATTTAAGCAAAACAATTCAGAGTCATTTCTTTTGTTTGATGGATATATGGGTCTAACTCTAACTAAACAATTTAAACTCAAAAATTTCCCAAAAAAATGTCCAACAATTACTGGCTCCTCTTTCGAGAAAAAATTACAAGCTGAAACTGCAAAAATGGGCATTAAATTTCACAGCCATCCCACCTTTCTCAAACCGGAATTCTAAGCAGAGAAAAAATTAAAAAGATCAACCCTCCCTTCCCCTTTGTCTCTCTCTCGCTCTAAAAGCAACACAGCCAGAAAAAGCGGGGGGGGTGTGTGCCTGCAGACAGAGTTTGAAAAGGCGTTAACATACTTCTGAATAACATTTGCAAAAGGGAGAGAACAGAACTAATAGGCAAGAAAATAGTATAGGATTTCCTGTCTGAGCAGGGGGTTGGACTAGATGACCTCCAAAGTCCCTTCCAACTTTATTGTTTCTGCTAACTTTGGGCTGTTGTAGAGAGAGAGAAAACAAACAAACAAACAAACACATCTTTCTTCATTTTGTTTGTTGGCCAGACAAACAGAATGAGAGTGTTTCTTTTGATATCTTCTTTTCTCGAGGTTAGTAAAAGTCATATTTACCTCACACACAAAGACTCTGACACACATATACATACCAAGACAAGGAAAAGAGAACAGAAAACTGTGATTGGGAAAAGGGTCTTCTCACTCACACACAGACATACACACATTTCTCTCATTCCCCTTCTTTCCCAAGCAGTCCTTGAGCTCAAACTCAAAACTTCCTTTTCTACCCTGGCTCCACATGGGCAGAGCCTGGGAAACCCATTCACAGACACAAGGCATCTGCTGCTAGCAAGATGGATTTTCCTGTTTGAAGCTACTCAATTTTACAGTTATTTTTTTCATTAGGTTTACAACAACGACTTATAACAACAGCCCATTTTCTTGAGAGTTTCCCTGATTATGGTTTCCTGAGGTTCTTGATTTGACGGCCACTCCAAACTCTTAACACCAGTTCGCTTCCCTTCAGGCTGGCCTTCCCCTTCGCGGGAGTAAGAGACCTCAACTTTTTAGGTCCGCACTCGCTCTGGACTTACCAGTGTTCCCAGAACACAGCCCATCACACTCACACAGCCATTATCGCAGAAACCTCCCACAATCGCTCTCCTGACCACTCAGGTACAATTGCATGTTTTCCTCCTTCGGGGCAAAAGTGTCTTACCTGGGCCAGTGCACCGGGTTACCTGGTCTGGGCTCTAGTTGTTGACTTTCTTCCTTTTTCCTGTTCTTTGATTTTTGTAAACCAGAGTTGTCAGTTTTGTTTGGCTTGGAGCCTGCAAGAGAAAACTAGATCTTGGATAACTCCAGGCAGTTGAAATCAACAGGCGCGCTCCTGGATTTTACTAAGAACAGTGTCCCCTAGAGGCTCTTAAATGCCCGCATTCTCTACCAAGATTGTGAGATGTAAAAACCCCAAATTTTGATACAATACGAAGACAAGTCTGGTTAACAATACAAAGTTTTATTGGAGAAAAACATAAAAATAATAAAA